ACCTGCAGGTGACTGTTTTGGGGCTGTGTCTGAAACAGACATGCCATCAGAGTCAGAGAGATGTGAAATTCTTATTTTGTATTATTTCCCCTTTATTGCTTTCCAGATTTCATTGTATTATCCATCTTCCTTGTCTTCCTTCAGAGCAAATGGAATTATATTAATTTGTGAGAGGTAGAGGGGTTTAGTGTATGATTTATAACACCTGTTGGTTCTCTGCGGATTAATGATCCTTTCTAAATAAATTGCATTATTATGACTTTTGCAGTGTTATTAAGATGTGTCTTGTTCTATTTTGAAAATGTTTTCTGGCATTTTTCTTGGGATTTTTGCAATAACTCCAAGTGGGAAGGGAGCGGCGTAGGGGTTGTTTCAGACACAGCACAGAGGGAGCTTCTGTAAGATGTCAGTGCATTTGTCCATCAGAGTTGATAGTCTGTCTCTAGTGGTAACCAGGATCAGATGATTCAGAGAAAGACAAAGGCATTGTTAATAATGCATTTCACCAACCTTGCAGTGCCGCATATGGGCAGAAGGCAAATTCCTTCCTAACGCTTGCAGTGATTTGCTAATCCCCTGAAGCATAATAATTGCATTAATTTTATCTCATGAATATGTAAACATGCTATTGAGTGTCATAGGAGGAGGACACCATTGTGTGAAATGTCAAAATAATCAGAGTAAATCTTCCACGAGGATTGGCCTCTCTGTTAAAAACTAGTTGTTTAAAAAACATGCAGAAAGTATACTGTTCTTACTCTTCTTTTTGAAGCAATTGTCAGGAAACACTGCTCGTTTTCTGCACAGCCCTACAGGGGTCATTGCTTTTTAATTTAATGTTTTCTTATTTGTCTTTTTTACTGGGAGATGTAGTAGAAGTATAGCATTTTGTCACTGCTTGCAGAGCCATGGCAAACCCAGGATGCTTCAGGCTGTATGGAGGTTTTCATTTGTGGATTATCAATTTGAAGCGAGTGTAGGTTGGTGATGACCAAAAGTTGTTACCATCTGCTTGCTGTTTGGTAGACTGCATAATGAATTTCTGAATCTCATCTTTTTCCACTGATGTCAGACTGTATCAGAGAGCAGTATCTTTGTAGGCGTCCAATTAACCCCCTAACGAGCTGTTTCTGAGGAGAATTGACTCTCTTTGTACTACAGCCAGGCTTGAGGTGCCTTCGTGACCTTGTAGCTTTTTCTGCTCTTTTCAAGACTTTATCAGCAGAGTTCTGTTTTATGCTTGAGGATCTCCATTCTTGGTTAGGACAGCATGTTAAGCTTGACTTTATTTGCACAGCCCATAGACTTCAGTAGGTCTACGTACGGAGTTAAAAATGTGCTTAAGTTCTCTGCTGGTTTGGGGACATGGTGCTCAGCACTTTCCAGCATAGAACCCAGTATTTGCTGTGCTGTTGGTAACCCCAGTTTTGGGCCTTGGAGAGCTTACAATCAGGTGGGTGCTATGGGCTGCAGAGAGATGTGAGCAACTTCCAACAGGTTTACTCTCATAAAGCAAGTTCTTTGGAGAACTGTGGCGGACTTGGATGCTGCTGATTAGCTTTCCGGATCTGGACTTTCTTCAGAAAGAACTCAAGGGATTTAGAAATATCCAGCAGGAGATGGTGACATTGATCTCTTTCTGCCAAGCTGGTGATGGCGATGAAGGGAGGGAGCCTTGTGTGCGGGGAGCTGCCCCTTGTTCGGAAGAGCTGTCCTCTTTGTTACAAATCCCTTGGTACTCTTGGTAACATAGTGATTACTTCTGGCTACATTCGAGTTCACATGCTGCAACTGGCAGATTCAAATGGATTTGCTGTTCATCTTTTTAACCTGTATCACTCCGTGGGACGGGAACAGCAAGCTGCTGGTGCGCAGCGGAGCCGCAGGTGCTGCGACAGTGCCCTTCTGCAAGCTGGTGGGTCTGGAGGAACGCTGCTGGCTATCGGGTACGTGTGGTCCGGGAAAGAATTGTTGCAGGGTGCTTCTCTTAAGCCCAGGGATGGCTGTGTTGTAGGGGCAGGCAGAAGATCTCATAGGATGGACAAACTTTCACGTCAGTTCAGGACTGCTTGAATGTCATTCATGCAGAATTTATTTCACAGGCTCAAACAAACTCAGGTTTCTTGTTGAGTTCTCCATTAGACCATTGCAAAAAGTCCTCTGGGATCCTGTATAGCTGTAAGAATCCCAAGCTTAGCTTGTGGAGTACAGACTGTAGCGTTTCTTAAAAGCTACTGCTTGCTGAAGTCTCTGTTCACCGGCTGGTCCAAATCTTTACAGGAAACACTCTGTTGGAGGAGGAAATCTGACTTCTTTGTGTCTTGCCTTGTGCCCCTGCCTTGTGGAGCATCCAGGGTAGGGTGTGACCAAGTAGCTTGTCCATGCACTGCCAAACGTTCCTTCTTTTTCCACCACCTAAAGAAAAGCCTGGTTCTTCCCTATGCTCCTCCAGGTATCGAGGCTTGTCTTCCACGTGGCTGAACGGAGTTTGGCCTCTTCCTGGCCGCACCACACTTGCTTGTGTTATTTTTACTCCAATCGTAAGCTGGGGTGTTTCTCTTAGGCACAGCACGAACGCAAAGCAAGAAGACATACTCTGCCTTCTGTGCTTTCCTATGCTCCATGCGGGGGTTTCACCTGGGAGCAGGGGGCTGCTGCTTCGGTGGGCTCGTTTCTGTTCTGTCCCTGCTTTAATCTGCTGCAGCTCCTGAAGGCTACGCCGCAGGGGTATGCGAGGCCCTGAGTGTGCTCTGGTCCATTAGGTCTCTAAAGCGTTATTTATTACTATTATTTTTTTTCAAAGTGGGTCAAGCCGTTTTGGCATTTCAGGCGTTGATTCCTGGTTCAGTTGCGGGCTTTGGTCACTATGGCAACTGCAGAAAGCGTTCGTCATGGCTGTGCCTTGGGTTGGATTCAAACTTCAGGGACTGAGCAGGAGCAGCAAGAGTTTCGAGGGGCTCAGGGCAGGGGGAGGCGAGCGGGACGGAGCTGCCGGCTTGTGGGTTTTGTGCCCATCCTTGCTGTCATAAGGCTGAATTAACAGACTCCTTGTGTTCCTCATTGTGTGTGCACCCGTGGAGTCCTTCACCTGAGAAATATTCAGCATTGCTCAGTCATCGGATAGTAGGAGGTGGGGATTGGACTTTCGAGGTCCCTTCCAATCTCTAACATTCTGTGATTCTGTGTGTTAAGCCAGTTTTGGAGAATGCCTTTGCTGAGTGTGAAACTGAGAATATATCTTCCGTGCCTGTGTGTGAGTCAGTGTATATCGGAGCTAGTATTAATGTATTTATTGCAGTCCAGAGGAGGTGGAATTTGTCTAATTTCTCATTTGATTACAACTTGAGTTAAAGAGTACCAAACTTTTTGGCAGGTTTCACCTGAGTTTCACATGCCCACGGTGCAGCTGTACTCTGGTTTTGAGCTGGTTACTTTGTGCTTTACTTTAGAAGCAGTAAAAACTCAGTGTTCCTTCATAACTATAGCCTGAAAGCAAGCAGAACCTTGCCTAAATTTGACCTGGTCTTCATAGAGTTGCTTGAAGCTGAAACTCAAAGTGAAACTTGTATGAACTCCTGTGAACTGAAAATGAGAAGGAGGTTGTGCATGATAAACTCGGGTTTCGTTGAGCTGTAGAAGAAAGACCAGTAGTTCTGTTCAAACAAATTCAGTGCAGTGATATGTGACTCAGGAACATTCACTTCAAATTCTTGCCTTGTATTTCTGGGGACTTCGCAAATAAGCCACTTTATGTTGAATCAAGCATGCTGGGGACAAGATTACATTATCTACCCGTATCTGCTAGCTAACATTTGGAAGATGTTAACCTCTGCAGAGGTAAGAGGTGGATATGCTTTTTATCTGAGAATTAATGAAACCTTAGACGTGTATTCAACTTTTCTAGATTTTCAGAAAGGAAACGATCCATTTTAACTGCCTCACTGTACATCCCATTGTAAGAAGCAAACTTCAGTTTGCTATATATAATTGGGCTTAAATGATAGCCCTTAAGAGTCTGTTCGTCCTTGGATCAGCCCAGGTCCCACTGTAACCTGCAGGCTGCAGAGATGGATGGTTGGGCCAGTCATAAATAGATGTGACTGCTGAAGGAAATGAGTTACGTAGGGGAAAATGGATGTAGTGTGTGGTATTTTGAAGAGTCTGGCAGGAAGAAGAGGCATCAAAAGAGAAGGAGCAGTGAGGAAATCTGTGCTTTCCTGTTGTGTATAAATATGTATGTGACTGGCTTTCTGATGGAGGTGTTAGGGCATTTGCTGAAGATACTGGATGAAAAGTTCCATTCCCTTAAATGGTTCATAATTTCTGTAAAACTCTGAAAGGTCTTGCTTTTCCCCATTATGAAAAGATAACTTTTTTTTTTATTAATGAAAGCATTTATATTATAACGAAACATTTTCATGCCCAACTCTAACTGGTGTGGGAAAGAGGATTTGATACAGGAAATGATGATTGCATTGTCTGTCATCATGACTCCCCTCCCAGTGGCCCATAATTTTTGATGATCTTTAATGAAGTGTTTTCTAAAAGATACGATTCCATTTTTGTGCATCCTGTTGAGAATAAAAAGAGGGACAGAGTGGGATTGTATGGAGAACACACAGATGGCTCCCTCGTTCTTGAGTGCAAGTTTAGGTTTTCTAAGGTCGGATCATCATTTTAAACTCTCTGAGCTGACAGGGGAGGATGATTTCGTTCTCTTAGGCATTCATTGGTGGTCAGATGAATTGAAGAGTGGGTGGAGAAAGACACTGGCAAGCCATTGGAGTTAGCTCTGCCACCGGTAAATGATAACTGTCTGCAGTCTGATTTTACTGGGGACATAAGTCCAAAGTGTGGCATTGGGTGGATTGCTTCAGGAAGCCAGGGGGCTAGTGGAGAAATCTGTGGGTAATGCTCCACCTCAAGGCATGGGTGCAGTTACTTTCTGTTTGAGCTGAAGATGTTTAACCTTGCTCTTTCCTTCTTTCCGCAGTACTGCCAGTAACTCAAACCGCAGCACGCCTGCCTGCTCCCCGATCCTGCGCAAACGCTCCCGGTCCCCGACACCACAGGACTCCCAAGGAGACGCCATGGTGGAAAAAGGCTCAGACCACTCGTCAGACAAATCCCCTTCCACGCCGGAGCAGGGTGTACAGCGTAGCTGCTCCTCTCAGTCAGGCCGCAGTGGGGCCAAGAATTCCAAGGTGAGGAGCGAGCAGATGACTTTGCTCAAGATGTGCACGTGTCCCCTGTTCGAAACTCTCTGGCTTTTTCCCATGCCTTTTTTTCTCTGGTTAACTTCCCTCTTTCTTCCTGTATCATACTTGTGAAAATTCTCCTAACTGGGAGCCATATGCATAGGTCAGACTCCAGCACAACTCTTCACCATCCTTTCCGTGACCTGAGCTCATGAGTTGCTGATGGCGTGTACTGCAGTTCTGTAACGGCTTATGTAGGCTAACCTTCTTGCAGTCAAAGCCCTGTTTCCTTGGGAGGACCTGTGCTTTTGAGAAAGACCTTGAAAATCAGCTGTTGCATTTATTTTTTTATCATATGGATCATGAAGGGTCATGGAACAAATGAAGGTTCCTCTGTGCAGACAGCCTGTGAAGGGCTCATGCATTTCTCCAGTCCTGCCTAAGCCCTGTGCTGAGGGGTGCAGATTGCACAGATCCAGTTTGCCAATCCTCTGCACGTTGCCTCCTGTTGGTGCAGAATTGCGGTGGTCTGGCAAATTCCCTGCAAATCTTGGCCAGGGTAGATGATGCAGTAAGCAAGGTATTGTGTCTTTTGACGGTATTAGAACCACCATCAGTTTTGTCTTTGCTGTACTGAGGAAGAGGGTTTCAGGTTTGGGGACTCTTGATTTTTTGTGAGTGGTGGGACCTGGTGAAACACTCACGAGGGCCTTAGGAGCCAAATATAACCTTTGATTATAGCCCTAATGTCAGTGGTTTATTATAAGATAGCTAGCTGTCAGGAGCACTTGTGTTTTTCCAGATTCCCAGTGAAATATTTCAGCCTGAATAACTTCATGGTATCACAGGCATAACTCTGACGGCTTGTGTGAATTGAGTTGTTAGATCTTTGCAGGATTTATGGCTGGGTTGTGACGCACACAAGAAGTGCTAATGTACTCCCCTCTGGGGTCACTGTCAGCAGAGGGAACAGGCGTCGCTGGCCCACATTCACTGGGCTGAACTGGGCACCACTAAGAGGGGAGTGTGTGGATTCAAAAGATGGAACGAAGGGGTTTTTTTCGAGATGAATCATTTGAGACCTGTCAGTTCTGAGGTTGCCCTTGAGGTCAGATGTGCTTCCTGTGAACACAGTGACCTACAAACACCGCCCCAGGGCAGCAGGAGCGGGTGACACCCTGCTGCTTGAGGGTCCAGCCCCAGAAGAAAGCCACGCAGATGGGGGGCAGGCAGGATGCAGGGCACACTGTGTTTATAGCCACACCGGGGGACACTCGGGGGGAAATGGTGTCGTTGGTCAGATGAGTTGCATTGCCCTGGCCCATAAATCCCATGGTGCTGTGAGATAGGTCCATGGGAGTGTGATTTTTACCAACAAAGTGACCACTAAAGCTTAACTTGAATTCATGGTGCTTTTCACAAGGAAGGGGGGGATATCATGCTTTCTGTTGGGTTTGTGGGTTTTCCTTCTCTTGATTTGTGAGGTAATTTTTCTTCTTTCCTTAATTTCTCTCTTTTCATTCCTGCATGCTTTCTCTCCGATTAAGTCACACAAGCGCCTCTCCAAAGTAAGCCTTCTTTTTTCTCTCCTGTCCCCCACTGTAGAATTGTCTCATGGCTCAGAAACTCTCCCCGTGGTACTAAGCGGTGACCCCAGTAAGGCATTCTCCTGGTGCGGCTGTGAGAATGTCAGCAAGAGCTCTGCCTGACGCCTGTAGCTGAGAAGCTGGTTTCACTTATGTCACTGGGATCTCATTAATATTTGCTCACGTGGTGTGAGAACTGGCCTGTTCATCACACTCCTTCAATGACTTCCAGCTAATTTAGCCTTTGTGTTAAGGTTTTCTTTCCCTCTCCCTTAAGTGAGCTGCTGTCTTTGCCAGGGAGAAATCTGCTGGCTTTGGTAGGCTGAACAGCCCCGTAATCCCTTCTATTCCCTCTCTTCTTACTATGCCTTTCAGAAACAAGAGCTGATCTCCGTGACTTCTTGCCTGCTTTTTATGATGAATAGTAGTTTTGTGGCCAGTGATCTCAGCTTACTGCCCTTCCGTGCACTCTGCGTGATGTAAATATTAAAGATCAGTGATTTCAAATGAACCCAGCTTAAACCTCTTAGAACAGACCTGTCCCAAATGAATTGTGAGAATTCATGGGCTCGCTCTGAAAGGTAGTGAGCAGAAGATCCCGCTGTGGGTGCTTGGATTGGAGATAAGCTCATTTGAGATTTGATCTCGCATCTCTATGCTACGCTCGGAAGAGTGTGAAAATCAGAAATGCAGATGGGATGCTTACGGGACAAGGTGCCAAGCTGTTGGCACTTCCACGTGTATACAAACAAGGAAAGTTAAAATCAGAATGGCTTGGATGGCTTCATAGTCCACGAAATCAATGCCTTGGCCTTTCCCCAGCTGATGCCTTAGATTTAATTCTAGGCAAGTTCGCAGAGAGCAGTGAAGTCCACAGCGCTGGCTTACTGTTTTTCCTTGGTCATAATGCCTCTTGTAACCAGCCTGACCTCGCATGATTGCTGGTGTCTGCTGGAAGCTTCTTTATGTCTTTTTTTTAGACAGATTGTCTTTTGCTTGGTAACTGTAACTTGGATAACTACAAGTGAGGACTGTGGGACTAAAGTCAGGTGAGATGGGAAAGATGTTGTATGGAGAAGTGGCAGAGAGTCCTGAAAGGGTTGCTGGTGAGTGGAGGTGTGTGGGTCAGGACAGGTCATGGCTGGAGGTGCTTTCCCTAAGCCATGGAGAGATTTGTTAGGAGAGGGACAGGTGGGAAGAACGTTGGTGGAGAGCGATGTATGTGTAAAATGTATGCGTAGTGGTTCAGTGATGTGCTTGCAGCCAGCCCCTTGCTTTTCTGAGAGGAAAAAAACCCAACGCCTTTAAGACAATCAGAGACACAAGAAGGAGGTGGACCTCAGATGAGCTCCAGCGCGAGGAAGCCAGTGCACAGAGGGGAGGGATTCTGGGCATGAGCTCCGCCAGCCTGCCTCAGAGCCCACGCTCTGTGCACAGGGTGAGCCTAAGGCATCTCTTCTCTGTGCCTCCTGAAGTGGCTTTCTCTGGTACAAGTGAGGAATCTGAGGTGTTAATAAGCCCTGATTTTCCCCACGCAGATCACGATGGTATCTGTTCAAGACAGGGAAAGGTTAGGAACAAAGAATTTAAGGACAAAGATTTTGAAATCTCCTTTCTCAGCCTCCTCTCCCCACCTCTCTTCTTCAAGAAGAATGGTCTGATTTTCCAACCTGTCTCACTAATGAAATGAAGCAGCTTGAGCCCATGAGTTCGATGCTGTGTTTGTACAATTGCTGACAGATCTGCTTGAGGTCCCCTGCCCTCTTTTGTCTGTTGTGTTAATTGTCGTGCCGCAGTGTTGCCATCAGAGGGAGCAGTTCACCTGGAGATTTAAGCACTGGGTTACATCTGGAGGAAGGCTTTTCTGGAGCTTGCTTTTCCATGCTGTCCACCGGTGTGGCATGGACCAAATCACCTGTGGGCGTGTGTCAGCCTTAGGCTTTTACCTGCAAACACCACTGCTTCTGGAACAGCTTTCTGAACTCAGCAAAAACACCCTTTCTGCTACCACACAAACGTGAAATACGTATTTTTAAACTCTTTTGCTCTTGCCCAAGGATAAAAGTGATTGCCTTTCCATTGCAAATACTTCAGATTTTTTCCTGCTGTCTATAGCTAGTAATGAATGCTGAGGATAAATGCCAGGTTAGGGGAAATCCGTGAATTTTGATGTAGGTGCTAGAGATTGTAGAATAGCTTAGGTCGGAAGGGATCTCAGAAGTTCTCTAGTCCAAGCCCCTGCTCAAAGCAGGGCTGATGTGGTTGTATCAGGTTGATGTAAAGTCTTGGTCAGCCACAGTTTTCAAACCTCCAAGTCTGGAGATCCCACAGCTTCATCGGGCCCCTGCTCCAGTGCTTAACCACTCTTGTTGTGAACAGGCTCTTTCCTTCTATTCGGATAGAATTTCCCTTACTGCAGCTTATGATTGTTGCACCTTGTCCTTTCAGTGTGCGATTCTAAGAGTTAGGCTGTGTCTGCTCAATCACCCTGCCATCCGGTGGTATAATCCCCCTTTAGGTAGCAGGTCATGAAATACTGGTTGTTTTGGACTGGGGTGAGGGATTTGGGAATAAATTTCATCAAGTTATTTGAGTTATTTGGCCATGGGAATAAGTTTCATCAAGTTCTTTGAGTTATTTGGCCATAGGCGTTTAGAAGCCAGGTGAATAGCACAGATTTTGCAAGTACATAGAACAGAAGAAAGGGCTCTGGAATCCGTTCCGAGCTCTGCCCTCACCCTGCTTCTGTGCCTCTGTCTCCCTAGTTGTAAAATGGACTTAGGGATACCTCTAGAGCTCTATGGCTTGTCATTCACTTGGTAAAAGGTTTCAGTTCCCCTGGAAGCACCAGAGTGTAGGAGTGAGTTGTGCCCCTGGTCCCAGTAATGCTAAAAGGTGGAAAATTCTGTTGGCACCAAGTTAGCAGGCTGAACGTCGTGTGGGTGATCCACTGCTTCCCATCTGCACTGTAAAGCTGTGATCTTCCATCGCAGTATGTGCAAGGGTGAGATCATTAACCCATGAAGATTTAAAGGCAACGTTAATTAAAGGCTCAGAGAAAATACCCCATTTTTTGCCCTCCTCAAGTTCTCCTGAGTTCTTCCCAGTTACAGCCACCATGTAACTATGAACTCTGGTATCTGCTCGTGTAGAATCATCTCTGCACATCAGTGACATCTTTCCCACTTCTGTGTGCAACTCCTTTTCTCTGTTCCTTATTTATTTTCTCTTTTCAGTTCTAATGCTTATGGTTTCTTTTTCCAGTATGACAGACTTAACCTGCTCAAAGTAAGAATTTGTTTTTCCTTTTTCTTTCTTTTCCCCCTCCATTATACTGTCTCTTGATTCTCACCATTTGCAACTCCCTATATTCTGACTCTCAGCAAGTTTAGAAAAAAAGGTAAATAAAATTGAAGATAGATTTAAGGACTCAGATAGTCTCCCTTCTCCTTGGATAGTTTCCTGTAGTCTGTTCTACCTGCAAAACATAGGGCTGAGGGGGAAGGAATCTCCTCATGTTTTGAACAGTTGGTGGAGGCAAAAGATGAGGTCTGGACGTCAGTATAATCGTGTGCAGGAGCTTAAGAAAGGAGGAGCTGCAGACTGGGGAAATTCAAATGTGAGGGGAGAAAAAAGAGTTACTGCAATTAATGCATCAGAGGGGAATGAAATCCTGCTGCAGTGTGCTGACACTACGACGTGTGCACCCTGATTCAGAAGACGCGGTGTCTCTGTTTTCTCCATGCCAGTTATAGTTTGATTATGATTTTTTTTCCCCAGAAGGTTCTGAGTTATGCCTTTTGCTCATTAAGGCAGACAGATGGCAAAACAAATCTGCAGGAAAATCACTCCATCTTAGACCCTGTGCTCCTGAGGACAAGGTGGTGTGTACATGGATTAAGATTAATTCCCCTGATTTTTTTTTTTTTTTTTTTGTGTAGGCTGAATTGCATAAGGCCTTTTTCCATGCCCTACTTGTAGAGAAGGATGACTTCTACCTTTGTGAATGGAGGGTATGGCCAAGTATGGGAAAGCGTAGCAAGTAAGAGAAAATTCCTCTGGCTGGTTGAAGAGCTGCACTGTGTATATAGTTCTTCAGTTCATATCCTTTCCCCAGGAAAGGCACATACTGTTATTACTGTGGGGTTTTCCATTAGAGACCGGTGCGGTGAAACTGGCAGAAATGTGCAAGGTTGCGAGAGATCCTTCAGAAATGTTGGCCTCGTGAATGAGATCCAGATGCTGGTAAGGTTGTCTGCTGGAGTGGCATATAGGGAGCACAGGAAACCGAAAGCAGAGGTGAAGAACAGTGTAAGCAACCCCAAATCTTCATAGGCATCTCCGGTCCAATCTGATCTCACTAATGCTTTGCATTTACTTTCCTATGGTAAACATCCTGTATGTCATTGGTCCTGTTGTGGGCTACCCCAGTGCAGGTAGTTCCTGTGCTTCTGTGAATATGATCTGAACTCTCTGTGTGAAGCTCCCACAGGCTCTGTTACGAGCTGGAGGACAGGATTCCCTCATATTCCAGACTGGGTATAAAGCTGTGAAAAATATTCCCAGTCTAAGGTCAGAAGCAAAATGACTTCAAAGAAAGAAATGCAGTGAAACGTTGCTTCTGTCCTTGTCTGTTTGGCTCGACTCCCCTAAGTGTAACGTAACCGTTGCTGGTTGGGAGGGGGACGGGCACAGCCCATCACGGGGACATTGGAAAGCCGGCCTGACTGGAGTGGGAGTGTGAAGCTTATTTCTTCCTCTCTCTGTGCAGATCAGTCTCACCTCCAGCTGAACACTGCCAAGTGTGACTTTCCAATCTGAGCTAGCTTTGTCATATGCTCCGATGTGACATGTGGCCTGTCCTCTCAAACCATCTGAAATGCCGTTATAAGGACAAAAAAAATCACATGTGCAGCTGATGCAAAACACTGTGCACTGAAATCCTGAAGAAAAAAAAAAACCAAACACTACCACCCCAGCCTTTTTTTTTTTCTTTCCTCTTAGCTTTTCTAGTGATTTTCTCCAGCAGTTTTCCTGGCTCTGTATATGTCTCCCTTTTGAAATTTAAAATCCTGTTGAAAGTTTTGCCTTATGGCTTTTGCGAGTAAAATTGTGTCCCTGCCTCCTGGTAGTTCTTTGAGGGCTTATTTGCACGGGGTCCGTTCAATGCAATGTGATTTTTGCAGCCTAGCCAGCAGACGTGGAAGAATGTCCCCTCTCCTAGAAGTGGCTGGCAACAATGATGATGACGAGCTCCTCTGTTGCTAGTGGGTGCTGCTGTTCTGCAGAAATGATTGCAGCATGCGCACGCGAGTCCGTGTGTGCGTGCGTGCACGTGGACATGCACACAGGAGCCTGAACTCTTTCCTATTACTGACTCGTGCTTCTGGATTGGGTCTCTGTTCCTGTAACTGCAAATAACTGTTAGACCGCACTGTGAAACCCATTGAAATCTTCCGTTTTAATCCCACTTTCACTTCACTAATTATACAAACCAGATCGGACCTAGTTTCTCTGTCCATCTTTCTTTTTGATCCTAAGATCTCTGTGCTGACTAATGCTTCTCTTCTATTTTGTCCTTACAGAAAAGCCAGAGTTGGTATAATGTAAGTACTCCAGTTTCTCTTGTCCCTGGGTGAATATGGGCTGGGTACCTGGGTGTGGGGGAAGGTGCAAAGGGGCTTTGCAGTGGCACTGGGGCATACTGACCGTTTCCAAAAAGAGGAGGTGGAAATGGCTCAGAACTGGCAAAGGAGGACTGACATCCTGAGGGGTGAGGATGCCAGAGGCAGAGGGCAAAAGCTTTGTCTTTTCAGTCGCTCTTCTGATCTCCACATCCTGTACCCTCCCGTTTCCCAGCAGAGTTGGTCTTGATGTGGTGACAAACGGAGCTGCCACCGTGCAAACCCTTTGCATCTCTCAGGGTGGTGTGGGCTGAGAGAGGAATTATTTTCTGTTGACCCCACAGAAACACAACCCATCTTTTGCTTCTGCCCTTACTTTCGTTCTGCAAGCATGAGTAGCAGTGTTTTTGGTACAAAGCTGGTGGTGTGCTAATTTGCACCATCGGTGTCACTTTTGCACGGTTGAACCCCCACCCCACGAGCGCTCTAGAGACCAGTAGCACCGTGGTTTTGTAGTTTTTCCCGGGGTTTTTGAGGGAAAATGCGCCAGCCGTTCCATGCTCAGCAACAGTTCCTACCTTCCTGCAGCCTGTGACGTTAGAACAAATGATTTTGGCTGGTACAGTGCCGTCAGGTTTGACAGAGTCATAGGAGGCTGGATATAATCAGCACCAGGATAGCAGCAAGGGCAGGAAAAGATGTGATCTCAGAAGCAGAGGGAAGCCTGGAGGCAATGGTGTTAAGTATGAAAAACCACAGTAGGCCAAAGTGTTGGAGAAACGGCAGATAAAGGGACGTGGAGGGAGATGCACAGGTCCAGCCAGGCTGCTGCAAAAATGTGAGTCTGTGACCGTAGCTAAAGGTGACTTTTGCTCTTATGGGAGAGTTGCCTGTGACTGTAGATCCATACCCTGCTGCATGATGCTTTGCTGTGGTCTGCTTCTGTGGGTCTCTTGTGTTTTCATGTCCTCTCTATCTTATCTTTCTGTTCTCTTGTTTTTCCTCCATATATTTTCAGCATGAGAGACAGTACATCCGGAGAGTAAGCACTGGCTGCATTTTTTGTGGTTCCCCCTTCCCCCTGATTATTTTCCTTTAGAAAAAACAAAACAAAACCAAATCATGGTCTAGTTAGTAGAGGCATTCTGGCCAGATAAAAGCAGCAATGTGGAAATACGGATGGGCTGCAAACTCTGGGAAGGCAGTCAATTCTACTTGGCAGTATTATTACCATTAAAAATTTGCTAAAGCATCTCCTTGATAATAGTTCCCCTTATTTACCAGCTCCTTCCAGGCAGGATTTTTTCTGGCATTTGGACCATTCTGATTCTTCTCCTCCTTTTCCCACTGAGAGCATCTCTAGAAATGAATCTGTGGAGGCTAACCCCTTCAGGAAGCCTTACAATTTCCTTTACTCACTTTTCCCCACTTTTGTTTTACGTCAGCTTCGCTGTGCTCAGAGCAAACACCCTCCACATTGTTCTTTGTGCCAGTTCAGCAGCTCCGGGTGCCAGGCACTGTACAAACCACAAACCAAAAATTATAGTCCTTGCCTCAAAGAGCACATGGTCCTCAAAGATCTCCAGAGCATCAATGATCAGAACGCCAGTTTTCTGAGTTTTCATTTTTTGCTGCTTTTAACTGGCTTTTCTGTCCTTGTAGCACTGTATCCCTCTTTGCTGGTTGCAACCCTTCCCTTTCCTTCTCTAGATTCCTTTTCTCTGCTTTTTCCGTAAGATGTTACCAACTTCTCTCACCTTGTTTGTTCTCCTTTTGATCCTACCGGTGGTTTTTGGGATTGACATCCCTACCAGGCTGAGAAGTGGGAGAAAAGGGGTGAACCGAGGTCATGGGTTGGTTTGGCAGACCTGCCCTTTCTTGGTCTTGTGCTTTCTCTGCTTTGCTTTCCAGAGGACAAATGCAAACTGGTCCAGGTGCACTGTGAGGTTTAGAAGAGAACCACCAGTTTGAGACTAAATATACTCAACCTTACAGAGTTTGCTTTGTGTTCATCTCCTCGTGGTGGAGGAGCAGACCATCCTGGGCTGGCTGAGTTCATTAGCAGTGGAAAGAAAAAAGTCCCTGAGGTGTTTCTTCTGCTTTTAGTGAGGAACTGCAGGCATGGAGACTCTAGTTTAGAACAACTGTCGTTCTTTGGGAGTGAAAACTCAGTTTGTTGGGCAGCTGTGGTTTAGGTCTCACCCATCTATGCTTAGCCACCAGGATGCAGTCGGTGTGTGTCTGCCTTGGACTTGTGTGTCTGCATGTTGAATTATTGTTCATTGAGTTATTATTTTAAAAATAATTTTTATTTTTTTAAAACAGACCTCAAAACCAAACTTCCTCCGCAATTTTGTTTACTGAAACAGAGATGCGACTTACTCTGTAGACCCGATGTGCTTAGAGGGCTGGGAAATTGGTGTTTCACTTCCTTGGTGACACGAAGGAGGAGTTTGCATTGACTGTGGAGGTGGCAGGAGCTCCACAAGTTGGTAGAAGGAATTTGTCACCCAACAGACATCATTCCAATTAGAGACAAACTGGAGATGTTTAGCTGCCAAGGGTAAAAGCGATCTCCTTTGTTCTTCTCCTCTCGGGGCTTTGGGTCTTAGGGCATTTCCCAGCATGGAGGAACTCTCTGTGCCTTGAGGTCAGCGTGCAGTTGAGGCACTGAGCCCAGCAGGTCTGCCACGCTTTTTTTCTGCCTACTTCTCTCTCAGTTGGACTGTCAATCCTTCTGCTTCCCTGACTGTTCCTAGATTAGGGTGTATGTCTCCGATTTTCCACAGCGCTTCTAGCTGCCACTCTATAGCAAGGCTTGATTCTGTAAATTGCCTCCTGTAGTCCCTGTGCTGGTAGACGCCAGGAGAATCTACAGAGCATACTCCTGGAAAAGAGAATAAGATGATCTTGAAAAGTTAGAGCAAACGCAGTTGACACCAGGGAAGAGGTGAGATTTCTATCTGTCCACAAGGTTTTCATATTACTATTTAGATCCCAAGGTCTGCCCTACTCTGTACTCCTTTCCTTTGTGCTCATTTATGCACATTCCTTTCACCTGCCTTCTCTTTTGCAACCATGCTTCAAGATTTTTTTTCCTCTTACAGCTTCTCCCTATAACTGACCAGAACCACCTCTTCTCCTCCTATGTGCAGGATAGCCCCAGAGTGGTTAGTGGGGAAAAAAATTACAGTGCAGAGACACTAATTGTCTCTCTTAGGTGTTCTTAAATACTACTAGAAACATTTGCTGTCCTATTAAGTCTGAAAAGATCAACAGGAGCACAGTTCTGCCCACTTGTCTTTGGGAGAGCAAAGTCTGCGCGGAGGATTGCACGGAGTGGGACAGGAGCCCTGCGCCTGCAGTTCTGCAAACAAATGCTGTGTGCCAGGGCAGCTCTCAGCTTGGCTTGCAAGAGGTGAAGGTCTCAAAAATAAATCCAGTCAAATGCATGCAGGTTGCCATGTAAAGGAGAGAGCCCTAGGTTTCCCTTTGGGAAAACTGTGGCAAAAGCCTGTGCGTTGGGAGGTGGCTGAGGATTCGGGGTGTGTTGTGATGCTGCAAAGGGACTTTCTTTGTGGAGACATTTGAGCAGTGCTTGCAGCTTCTTAAGAAAGAATCAAGCGGTCACAAGGCTGAACACCATAAGAAATCAGCTTTTGCTGGTCTGGGTGTGCTGTCTTTTCTTCTTGCAGTACCCTCTTGGAGACCTCGTAGATACCAGAGTGGAGGGGGAAACTCAGCTGTTGGAAAGAGTAAAATGTTCCCTATAAAGACAGAGAGAGAGAAGTTATGCATCCTTTTAGGAAGAACATCAGGAACAGCTTTCCAATGGGTGGCAGCCTGAGTCGGACTCAGCGACAGCAATTAAGTAAATGGAGTTTATTGCAAAAATCCAGACCTGCTGATGAGTGAGCAAGGTGTTGAACAAACAGCCTTTTTCTCTGTGAATCTGTGCCATCATCCTGTAAGTTCCAGTAACCATCTTGCCTGTTTCTGGAGCTATGTTAACTCCTTGTTTTTTAGGTATTTTTCATCCCTTCAGATTTTCCATGATTTTAGGGGTATGGATGACCAGCCCTGGCACAGCTACTGTGGGGTAGAGGCGCTGAATTAGAAGTGAGCTTTTCCTGCAAGCTCATGTGATGATGAACTCAAATCCACTTTCCACCCCAAAAGGCCAGTGATTACTTTGAAGCTGCTGCTTCTGCTGTTCATTCATTTTTAAAAGAAAAAAAAAAAAAAAAAGGAAAAAAAAAAAAAAAAAGAGGGGAAAAAAAACCCCTAGAGACCAGACCGGTTTTGGAAGAAATGCTGTGGGACAGGTGGCCAGTCTCTTGCTGGCATTAATCAGCATAGCAGCCCTGCTGTCAGTGGGGTCTAAACTCTCCCACATAAGCAGGGAATGTACTCTGTTCTTTTCCACTAGTTTTCCTGTTCTGTCCAGAAGCAATGCAAATCTTCCCTGAAGAGTTAAGAGCAAGACCATCAGTTGGGAAAATCGGATAAGATTTTCCTTCTCCATTCCCTCTGTGCCTTGCCATCTCTCCTGCTCACCTGTTTTCTGTGCTGTACAAGACTATACCTTTCTCACTTCTTATGTTGGCAGACTTCCCTGTCCTGTCCCATCCCCCAGCAGCAGTGGCTTTACATTCCTGACAGAGGATTTGTTGGTGTATTAACAGGAAGATCTTACCATGGGGAGTCACCCTTTTCTCCCCGTTTCCCCCGCCCCGAGCCTCTTCCCTCCACCCTTTGCAGTGCCATCCTGTGCCATCTCGCTCTATTTGCAGAGGAGTTAATGTTTGCTGTCTCCACCTCCGGGTTAGCTATTCGGATCGCTTGTGCCATTCATCTCTGCACGGGGAGGTGGGTGGCTGTGTAGACAGAAGCATCCTGCTGGGGGTATTTTTTGGAAGTAATCCCATAAGTAGTTTTCAGCAAAGGGGGCCGTGCAGTAGAGCGATGCAGGTACCTCGCAGATGTCTGTAATCCTAATGCTTTGTCCTTCCCAGGCTACAGAAATTTTGTTTATTGTTCCCTCATATTGGGGTGGCAGATGAATGTACTGCTTCCTTCTAACAGGAGAGACCGGTGTGCTGTCTCACACCAGCAATGCTTTTGCAGAGAGCACTTGCCAGCTCTTCCTGACAGTGAGCAAACTGCAGTCCCTGGCCCTGGGGTGAAACAGTGGCTTTGCAGAGGCGCTGTCGGTTTTTTGGTTGTGTTTTTTTTGTTGTTGCTGTTTTGTGGGTTTTTTTTTTTTTGAGATATGTGCCCGGTTTGTTAGGAAGAATGATTTTATTTCCATATACTTGTTTGCACAGACTCAGCATCACGGCTGAGCTGCACTGGTGTCGTGGTGTGGACCTTTACCTGTACGTTGCTGCACTTGAGCAGAGAGGGGGATAGGCGGGGGACTAAGGGCAGAGGGACACAGGGAGCTCCAGCGCTCCGAGCAGCCTTCCTGGGACCTGCAGGGAGTTGATTTACTGGAGCCCAAAGGAAGCCTTTGCTCTTCATTTCCCAAGTGGCCTGACGAATGAAACCGAGCCCGACCTTTGCTTTTTGGGGGAGCTCAGAGATAACATATAGGAGTAGCTGTGTGGGTCTCACGCGGCTGATCTCTCGTAGCTGTGTTCTTTAGGCTGGTCTCTCCTTACTCCCCTCGCGCCTCCCCCAGCACACTCTGTCCAGCAACTTTCCATTACAGGAAACATCTGCTGGGAGGCCGGGCTCAGGCTGGGTTACTGCAGGGCATTGGCCGACAGAATTACCCAGCTCCAGCAACTTAAAGCGTGTGCAAATCGTTTTGGTATCTTCCCCACCCGCTCCTGCCATGGGAAATGTTAACAAAGACTGAAGCTGCCTTTCAGAGCAGAGAGGGACTAGAGAGGAGAGCCTGAGGCACACACAGAAGAAATAAGACTAACTGCTTTTTTGGTTTCAAAGGGGGGGAAAAAAAAAAAAAAGAAAAGAAAAAGCCGCTGAAATCTCTGAGCCGTTTACTGTCCGGTTCAGTCCTGGAAACCACAGCTCGATCCGTGAGCTCCAGCTGGTCCGGTGGGGTCCTGGCAGTCGGAGCTGTTTCGGTTGCTGGCTCTGTAGTCCCTGGGCCAGGAGCTGCAGATGCCTCGCACGGACCTGCCTGGGACTGCCCAGAGTGTCGGCACGTTTGCGGTGCTTCTTTAAGGGATGCCCACAGCAAGAAGCTGGTGAGACTGGAACCGAAGAGCACAAAGGTTGCCCGCCAGCACGCTTACCCTAATGAGCCACATTTTCAAAGTCCACTGGAGGGCAAATCCTGGCTCAGATCTGCAGAGGCGGCTAGGGCAGATGACCTGAATGTGAGCAGGAAAGTAGGGGAAGGCACGTCAGCTCCTGCCAAGCTGCTGTATCTCTTTTGACTTTGAATCTAAACAAGAAGCGGTGACAGCAGGAACAGGAAAAGCAGAGTTTGATTGAGCACACGGGGAGCTGTGCGAGTGCTGAGGGAACGCTATGGATTCCTTGCTGGAGTGTGGGGCTCTCTGGGATCCCGTGCTGGATCAAGAACTGCCGTGTCTGCTGTGGGACCTGGAGGGGCTTGTCGACTCCCCGCGAGAAAATGTCAGCTGTGGATCAGATGAAATTCCAGCTGTGAGTGTCTCTAAACTGAACTGTTTGTCACTCTAACAGAAGTTCTGGTGCTAAGCCTGTGGTCCTGAGCTTCTGTGGTAGAGGTTTTAGACAGATCAGAACATCCCTTATTGTGGGGAAGGGAGGGGAGCACCCCTGCTCATGGAAACGGTACTGCTGAGTTGGGTTGCTGTAACTCATTGGAGCCAAAGCTGAGAGCTGAGTGTCATCTCTGGTGCCCCCTCCTTTCCCATCCTGCCTGCTTGTCCCAGGAAATCTTGGGCTTGGGCTCTTGCTGGAGCCCATCTCTGACCAAGATCTTTTCCAGATGTTCAGGTTAGAAGTTTGGTAAGTAAAAATCATATTTCTGTCATCAGCTGGTTAGCAGGTTTTATTCAGAAGTAAGATACTTTGGGCCCGCAGGACTGGAGCAAATATCTGAAGTGCTGAGCTGATGTTAAAAAAATATTGTTTCTGGATTGTTGAATTGGTGTGAGGAAGAGGGAAAGCTTTTGGGGGGCAGGGGGTTGTGTGTGTTTCCTTCTTTGATTTGACAGCATTTGACAATTTTGTAAGGTTGATGCTAAACAATTTTTCCCACCCCTGCAGCCCCACCAACACCATTCCCAAACAGAAGCTCCCTTCTGTAATCACGTTGATTTTTGGGGCACTTGCTGGGGGGCTCTGAGGTGTGCCCACCTTTCTGCTTTGGGACATCTGTATTGTGCAGCTGGAAGAGATAGGAGAGGGTTGTTGAGAGGAAATGGAGATAAGGAGGGAAGAGGTTGTACCCCAGGTTTTTTTGCCTTCCTTACATTTATGGGAGAAGGAACATGATGCCTCCTGAATTTGCACCTGCCTCGATTTTGGTCAACCCTGCTTCAAAAGATGTTCTGGCTATTATGAGCCATGGTGTGTAGGAGGTGGTCTAGCATGGGCAGAGTCACATTATAGTTGAGTAACCTGCAGAGAGAAGGCAGCTCCTGGTCTCCCTCCAGCCAACAGCACCATTATCTCCGAGGCTTTCCATGACGCCCGGTGTCAGCAGAGTAAGCGTAAAACACGGCTGAGTCCTTGCGAGAGCCTCTTCAGAGCACCGCAAAAGCGTTCTCACTGTACCAGTGGACAGTTGTGTGTTCACTGACTGCCAGGTGGAGCACTTGATGGGGAGAGGAACAGGGATGACTGCATTATTCCTGAGCCCTGGATGATGCTGGCCATTCAGGTTCCTGTGGCAGGGCTGCAGCTATAAAGCGCCTGTTTTCTGGGGTTGCTGCGCTGTTCCTGGGAGAGCTGGGGACTGGCGGCTAACTGATGCATTGCAAACCTTGTCATGTGTCATACCTTGTGCAGTTTAGGATTGCAGGAAAAGAGATTCCTCCTGCAGCCACAGCTTCCATGCAATTGCATTTTGCTGCCTAGCAGATACGGGTATATCCCTGTTACTCTGTACTTGCTCTTCCAAGTCAGGTTCTCCTCTTCTCACTTAATGCACTAAATCCCAAATCCTCCCGTCTGTGTGCCTGCTGTGGTGGGAGCTCCTAGCCTCATGCTTTGTAAGTGCATCTGATCCCCCTTCTCCTTACCACGGTGCTCCTGTTTTCCCACTTCCGTTTCTCTGCACTCGTGCCTGCCCCTCTCTTTAACAGGCACTCTGTTATTTGCAGGTGTTGAGTCCAACGTACAAACAACGGAATGAAGATTTCAGGAAACTCTTCAAGCAGCTTCCTGACACGGAGCGCCTCATCGTAGGTAAGGTCAGCCCCTCGGTGCAGCGCTCTGCTGTGCTGGCCTGTGGTTTGGGGAGGAAAGCCAGCGCACGTGCACGGAGCCTTTTCTTCTTCCAAGAGATTGCCACCAAAGAACAAGCCCGTTGTGTCTTTCTTCTGCACAGACGGAACCCCTCCCCATCATTTCTAATTCATTCATTTTGCTGCAGGGAGAGCGACACTGATTTGTATCGGCTACGGCTCTGTGCCCTCATGATTTGAGGAGTGTGTGTTCTTCCCCAAACCTGGCAGTGTGTTAGTGTTTGAGCTCTTTGTCATTTAGTCAGGGTCACATGTCTCAACGTGAGCTTCCCTTTTTTTCTGACATCCCCGATGCTCCTTAGTCACACACGACCGCCCTTCCCCTATCTGTTTAGGCTTTGCAGCTGATGAGTGCCTTGTGCATTGCATCTGTTCTTTCGTCTTATGTAACCGGTGATCTCATACCATGTCTCAGGCTGTTGAAAGATGCTCATCCTAGCAGAAGAATAGAAATTGTTTAGGATGCTTAAGCTGGGAGAGAAATGAACAGCGGCACTAGAAGGCAAAAAGGAAAAGACAGATTGGAATCTGGAAATAGTACATAGGGCGCTACAGAATGACCAGCAAGATCATCGGTCAGTAAGAGAGACTGCCTGTGACGTGTCCTTGCAGGGACTCATAACCGAGCGGACAGAGCAGCAGCTGTGGCTCTGTGGCTTCTGCCTTTGCCTTTGACTTTCTGCAGGATGGTGTCGAGTAGGTTCTTCTCGTCATGCTGCTGCTGATCCTCACCTTTAGGCTGTCCTGTCTCCTGGTTTTGGTGCTCCTAAATTATCATCTTTTTTCCACCCACAGATTACTCATGTGCTCTACAAAGAGACATTCTCCTGCAGGGCCGCCTCTACCTCTCTGAAAACTGGATCTGCTTTTACAGCAACATCTTCCGCTGGGAGACACTGGTAAGGCCGTCAGACTGCCGCACTGAGCGTGTGTTTTATGTCAGCATATTTGCTGACATTGCTTTAAAAGCACTCATTCTGTTGTCTTTCTCATCAGTGTCCCTCCTCACCTGTGTTCTTTTTCTGCCTTCCCCTCTCTGCACGGCTCTGACTGTAGCTGACGGTTCGCTTGAAGGATATCTGCTCGATGACCAAGGAAAAAACAGCACGGCTCATTCCTAACGCCATCCAAGTTTGCACTGACACTGAAAAGGTACATCCTTGAAGCCCCCAGCTCTGGGGCCACCCCTTATGGCTGTCAGGGGCAGGGCAATATAGGTGTGTTGTGGGATTTTTCCCAGCTGACGGCTCGTGCTGTTTGGGGCTTGGGAGGAGGCACCAAGGGCAAAGGGCTGGATGCAGAGCTGCTGCAGACTCTGGGCTTGAGCTGAGGCTGGTGCACGTGTAGCTCGTACGTGGGGTGTGGGCACAGGTAAGATATCTGGGTTGTATGGTAGCGCATCTCTAACAGAACTGTTTCTGTGCTCAGATGTGCTCCCTTGGGCGAGAGGCGTTCAGCCTCCCCGGGGGGACCCCGTGAGCTCCAGTCTGTGCCCAGGAACTGAGTGGCTGTGCTGTATGGCTTGCTGTGAACTGTAGCTGGAGAGTGATCCAAACAGGCTTGTCTTTTCTTCTTCCCTTTCTTGGGCCTTTTCAGAACTGATTTTTCTCTCCATTTCTTCCCATGCAGCACTTTTTTACTTCCTTTGGGGCTCGAGACAGGACGTACATGATGATGTTCAGACTCTGGCAGAATGCTCTCCTTGACAAGGTACAGAGAGCAGCACCTCCGTGGTGGGGTGGGTGAGAGGGAGGTGGTGAATATATGCAGAAGCATAATACCTGTGCCTAATGTATATGCATAAAAAGGCGTAGGGACAGTGAGCACGTGTATTCAGGCAGAGCAGGTCCGCAACTGCAGATGCAGTTCTCTCTTCTGGCATGGAATCTGTCTATGTACAGATATGTCTTGCACGTGCAGTAGATGCTGCTTTGCCTCTGCTGAGGTGTGGAAGCATGTGTCTCAGGAAGGAGGTTTTTCTGAGGTCCATAAACAGCCCAGAAGGAGGCAGTTCAAAATGCAACAGAACTAGCTCACTGCACAGGCACAGCTCTCGGTAAATCTGTGCTCCACAAGTGCAGAGTTGAAGATGGGACAGCAAAAGAGGGTGTGTTTAGGGCATCCCAAAACCAGATGAGAACAATGGTGGGTGTGGGATGCACTGGGTAAGGCTCAGTGGGTTGGATTTCAGAATGAAGCAGGGATGTGCACCTGCTATGCCAGAGGCCCCATATATCCTATATTTGATCTGAGTATCTGTTCCACAGTCCATTGAGGATTTCTGGCTTCACTGAGGGAGTAGCACTGAACTGATCTTACAGTGCTACTAGCATTTCGATATATGCTGGCTTGAGTTCATACCATATGGGAATGCTTAAGTAATCAAGCACCCAGAATACCCTGTCCTGAAGATCAGGATAGTATTTAGTATGCAAAAGGATCGCTTTGCATTGGGCAGCTTGTGTTGCTACCATATGCTGTAATTTGATCAGCCTTTTGAAGTTCCTAACAAAATTCAGTGCCCTTGCTTTCAAGGTCAAAGCAAACGGGGACAGAGACATGGAGTGATAAAGGCAGGAAGCGCTTCCAGAGCTCTTATTTCCAAATGTAGGATCCATGCCTGGCAGGAGGGAGGGAGAAAGAGCCCAGGCTGGTTTTCCTGATAAGACCTGTGAATTAGAGTACATGTGGGAAGAAGGTGAAAGAGAGTTAGACATTTTTCTGGATAAAAGTTTCTCATTAGAGGTTTTTTCCCCATGCTTTTGATTGCTACTGGTGGGAGCTAGATTGAAAATTTCCTGCCTTATCCCATGCAGTAACTATGGGAAGAAATAAGCCAGCAACTCAGAAAACGTTCACGAGATTTGTTTTTCTTCATTACCAAGAAATCTTTGTTATTGCTCGTAATTTCCTCATGGGGAAAAATCCGTCCCCTTTCATCCCTGTACCCATATTTAAATCACACGTTCTGCTCCATTTCTTAAGACCCTCAGAACGCAGTCATATGGCGATCAACTGACCTGCATCTCACAAAAGCTGTGCTTTTGTGAACAGTCTTGATAATTTATTTTCTCTTGTTAGCTGGAACGATATAAAAGCTTTTCACAATAGTATCTGGCGAAACAAACTCTTTTTGATTTTGAACTGTAGCAGGAAATGTTTTTCTTTGTTGCTGTTTTAGATCGTTTTCCCTGTAGCTGTAGTTCTCTAGGCAGCTTTAATTTAAACAAACTTGGAGGGAAAAATGCAATCCACCCTGAAGCATCACTGGAATTCAGAGGTGAGCCCATCAGAAGACTCTCACCTTCCATCAGGGGCTGGATCAGAATCTCTCATTTCTCCTTTTAGGGCAAGTCGTTCCAAAAACTCATTCTATTTTAGCATTCTTAGGTGAAAATGTGTGCTGTTCTCTGTTCCCTCTTTCAGCCTCTCTGTCCAAAGGAGCTCTGGCACTTTGTCCACCAGTGTTACGGGAACGAGCTGGGTCTGACCAGTGATGATGAAGACTACGTGCCTCCTGACGATGACTTCAACACAATGGGGTGAGTGAGGAGGAGTAAAATCTGTGATGAAGAAAAGCTGGCCTCAGGAAAGCAGGAGTCCTGATAGATTGCATACCCCAAACTGCTGCTTTTCCCTGGTGAGATAATTCTGGGCTCTGGCCAGGTGTTTGCCCTTAAATGTGTAGTGCCTGAAAAGCTGAAAGCGCTCTGTTTCCTCATGGAGGTTGGTAGGGACTGAAATGCCTGCCTGTCTACTTGCTGAGCTGGATGAGCAGTTCAGTAGATACCAAAGCATCCCAGCCACAAGGCCAGTTGGTGTGTTACATGGTCAGAAAATGCCGATGCTTGTCAGTCTGTGTATGAAAACTTGAAAAGTTTGGGCTTGATCTTCCCTGCACTGTTTTTTTTTTGCTCAGACTGGAAACTTCATAGAAATATTCTTACTTGCTCTGTGTGTCCAGCTGTAGCTGTACTGAGAGGGGTAAACATAAAAACCTGTGTTCTCTGTGGCGTCTCAGCTACTGTGAAGAAATCCCCGTGGAAGAGAATGAAGTCAACGACAGCTCCTCAAAAAGCAGCATGGAGGCCAAGCCAGAAGCTAGCCCTCAGCTGCCAAAGAAATCCGTCACTGCCAGCACGTTGACATCCACGGGCAGCAGTGAGGCGCCAGCATCGGTGAGTGTTCTTCCTCCGTTGCAGTGGGAGCCGGGATCTTTTTCTCTGGGATCCAGCTGGGAGTGAATGTAGGAGGGAACTGTTTACCCCGCGGCTCCTCTTCCACGGCAGCTGACCGCAGCCCTCGAGTCAATGATATCTGTGAGCTGGGGCATCTGCCCAAGAAAAAGTGAGCAAAGCGTGCCTGTCCCAAAAGCCAGTAAACCGGGACTGTCAGCAACGAGGGCATTTTCCTTTCTGTACTTTTAAATGAAAAGAAATAGAGTGTTGGAGATAAGAGTTATAATTTCTTCTCTGCCTTCAGTTACCCCCTGGGAAGCAGCGTGTGCCCTCACAGTGTCATGGCAGAGCACGCCTTCTTTAGATGTAACCTCAGATTTTCCTCGCTGTACAGGGCTTGTTTGGGGCCAAAACCAGTATTGTTTGTGTGTTTCTGAACAAACAAAAAGCCTCGTGCGTGTCCCAAGCTTGAGCTGTATGTGGTTCTTGGAGGAAGTGATCTCATGTGCCCGTGTGTTTGACAAACACCATATGGTAACCTTCCTCCTCTCTATATGATTTAATTTCCAGACATGTCAAGACCAAATGTTCAAAGATATGGAAATGGGCCCACAGATGTAAAGTTTTCAGAAATAACCCCCAATTTCCAGGTGCTCGTTGTTTCCTCATTGTGCTCTCTCCTTTCTGCAGTTTGATGGAGTGCTACCAGAAGAGGAGGAGGCAGTGGCAGAGAGTCCTGTGGAAAAAGACCTTGGCATTGCAAACATCATGGGAGAGAAGATAGAGATCATCGGCCCCGTGAACTCCCCTTCCCTAGACTTCAACGACAACGAAGACATTCCCACTGAGCTCAGTGACTCCTCGGAGACCCATGATGAAGGTATGCGGGGAAGGGCTGTTCCATCCATGTTGTTTTCAGCCTTCTCCTGTCCCTTCCAATGAACGACTGGAGTGGCAAATGTTTGATCCTTTTCTGGACCCTAAGAGTTCAGAAGATGCAAAGAATTCCCATCCTGGGCTGCAGAAGGCGAATGTGTGGGGTATTTGGGAGGAAGCCCCTAAAATAAGCTGTGTAGTTAGTTACCCCTTCTGACCTTCCAAATGTCCTGGGATCAGTGGAGGAAAAGGGTTCGAAGTACCTCCTTTGGGTTTCTTCTTCACAAAGTGAAATACAAGGTTCTGGCACTGTGAGCACAGCCTCTGATACTGGCGCAGAGGATCACGGCTGGGGCTTGCGGTCCTCTTTCCCCACAGGGGAAGTCCAAGCCTTTTACGAGGATCTGAACGGCCGTCAGTATGTGAATGAAGTGTTCAACTTCAGCGTAGACAAACTGTACGACTTGCTTTTCACGGACTCCCAGTTCCAGAGGGACTTCATGGAGCAGCGGCGGTTCTCTGGTAAGCTGCTGCTGGCAGAGCCTGGTCACTGACGGAGTGGACGATGCAGAGGGTGTCCCTTGGCGTGCTGTAGTCCGCCTTTCCCTCTAACTGTGGGTTTGCTAAAGAGGATATGTCCCTAGCCTCTCCCCCTTTCCCTGCACATTTAGTACAGGAGACCTTTCTTTCACGCTCCGTCGAGCTCTAGTGCTTCTGGAACCAGGCTCTCCAAGGGGAAGGAGATCCCGTCCTGAGCATGGTTATATGGCTGTGCCTTTCCCTAGGGAACTGAGATCCCTCTCCAATTACTTGAATGGAATATTGTTTTGTCCTCTCAGATATTATCTTTCATCCCTGGAAGAAGGAAGAAAATGGCAATCAGACCAGAGTGATCCTCTATACCATTACCCTCACCAACCCTCTGGCCCCCAAAACTGCCACTGTCACTGAGACGCAGGTATGTGGAAGGGGAGCAGGAGTGTAATGCTTTGTAGAAACAGATCTGTGATTTATTTTCTTGTCTTGGGCATGCTGCTCTGCATGTTTTCATTCTCCCTGCCCAGTTTCCTTTACACGTTTTTCTTGTATTAGCTTGCTGCCCAGTATCGCTGCAGACGTGGATAGCTGATCTTACACTCGCACGGGATTGCATTGCAAGGAAAGAACCATATATTTTCCAACAAAAGCAGATGAGTTTGTAAACAAGCCAGCACATTCTAACAACTGTGTTTGTCACCCATACTGGTGTTTTTTGAGCTGCTGTCAGTCCGGCAGATGTTATTCATGAGCAGGGCACAAGAAAGTCAGACACTGTCTGGCCAGTCCTTCTCACAGCTCTACAGAGAGGTGTCCAGGCTTTTTTATTACTGGTGGGGACAACTAGATGACCTGTTTAAAAAGGTACAAAATGGGAGCATCGGCAATGTGCTGGGAATAGCCAAGCTGGCTGTATCTAGTAGGTGCTGCAGCTGGAGAGGGAGGACAAGCCTCCTTCTGTGTCCAGAGATAACGTTCAAGTGGCCAAAGGTAAATACTGAGAGTTAGCTTGAGGGAAAGTAAGAGGGAGCCAAGAAAAGATGGGATGTCTGAGCATTGCATTTCAGGGAGAGGAGAATCCCAGCAGCAAGGTGTACCTTGTAATGATGGGATGAAGCGTGCTGGTCAGAAGTGAAGACTGTGCAGGGAAGACAAGAGAAAGAAAAGCAAAGCAATGGGGAAACAGCACGCTTTCAGGTGAGGAAGGACACAGCCTGTTTTGGTGTATGGCTCTGCAGTTAACTGTCTGTCCCCTTGGTAAGGTTTGTTCTGGGGCAAAGAAAGCAGCAAATCAGAAGCACTTAAAGGATGCAATCGCAGAATAATTTATGCTAGAAAGGACCTCTGCTCAAAGCAGGGCCAAAGCAAGATTTTAGAACAGGTTGCTCCCTGACAAGCCAGACATCAGTGTAGTGAGAAGAGGTGACACTTGCAGGGGTTCCAGAGAACGGATCCTCAGGTGGCACTGCAGGTAACTACGTGTGTGAGACAAGGTGCTGGAGGTTGAGCTGCTGGAACCGAATGTGCCTTTTGAGATATACCCTTGGGAAACATCTGAGTGAAACACTTGGTTTCCTCAAGTATGCCTTCCCTTAAAGGTGAGCTGTTCGTGCAGAGCTGGGGCTTGGGCATGGGTGTGGTCTCTGAGCCACGGCAGAGCTGTTTCTGTATGGTGCTGGTGAAGGTGTCGGTCCATCAACGCCGTGTTCTAACCAGACTAATAGTTGCCTTGCATGCTGTCTTTTATGCAGACAATGTACAAAGCCAGCCAAGAAAGCGAGTGCTATGTCATAGATGCAGAGGTGCTAACTCACGACGTTCCCTACCATGATTATTTCTACACCATTAACCGCTACACGTTGACTCGTGTTGCCAGAAACAAAAGCCGACTCAGGTACACTTCTGTGGGGGATAACGAGCTTTGCTGACGAGCAGAAGTCACCTTTGGGTGGGAGTTCTGCTGTTAGGTCTGCTAGGAGGGGTTGGGGAGAACTTGGCTTTATTTCTTTGTCCCATTGCCAGAACAGAGTTACTGTAGGGGCAGCTGCCTGCTGCGGTGACAACTCCTGCGATGAGGAGGAGTTAGAGCTGGCTCAGGGAGAGGATTTACAGAGTTTTCTTGCTCCCTTGTTGGAAGCAGTGGTTTGTACGCCAGTTGTCACACACAGTCAACTACATGTGATAAGCAACAGGACATACTTCTAGGGACTGTGCCCCTGAGATGCACATGGGGGGACAAACAGAGGAATTTGGTACCGGGCAAAGCTGTAGGCTTGTGTGTTTGCCTTCGATAAGTAATTTAAATGTCTGCCTGCCACATGGCTGAAGGTCTCGGGAGTCCTCTTGGGGGAGGCTCTGAGGTTTTCCTGGCACTGCCTTTGGAAGGACTTCTCATGCAGTGCTTCTCCTCGAGAAACACGAAGGGCTGAGACCATTCCAGAAATAACAGTGTGCATGGTTATTTTTTGCATTTACACTGACAAAGGATTGTGAGTTGACATCGCCTGCAGGAAGCAAAATTGGGAGAATGACTTTCCTTTCTTCACACAGGGTTTCCACAGAGTTACGTTACAGGAAACAGCCCTGGGGGCTGGTGAAATCCTTCATCGAGAAGAACTTTTGGAGTGGCCTAGAAGATTATTTCCGTCATTTGGGTAAGAGTGGCTGTGGTAATGTCCCACAAACCGTGGTGCCTGCCATAGTCGATGCATGCCTCCCTGCACAGCGTGGTACCAGCTGCCAGCCCACTGGGGATCAGACCTCGCAGAGGCTTATAAATGGGGCCAGCCAAAGGTATTGCCACAGCACGGGCAGCACTTGCTGGAATTAATCACGTCATCAAATCCAGCTCTCTGGCAGGAGCGCAGGCAGTCTGGGGTCAGAGTTTGGTAAAAGGTGTGTCGTGTGTCCTCTGGCATGGGCCCCTTAGACCCTGACAGCTTGTTTGGCCCAGCAGCTGTGCCTTTAGAGGGCTTACGTCGGTATCTCTGCAAGGGCAGTGCCGCTTCTATTAAATGCTTTCCCTTGCTGTCTCTGCAGAGAGCGAACTGACCAAAACGGAGAGCACGTACCTGGCCGAGGTCCACAGACAATCCCCCAAAGAGAAGGTGAGCAAGCAATCGACCGTGCGCCGGAGGAAACGGGCCCATGCCCATCTGCGGGTGCCACACTTGGAGGAGGTGCTGAGCCCCGTCACCACCCCCACGGATGAGGAGGTTGCACATCGAATCAAGCACGTGGCAGGTAAGGAACTGCAGACCCCTCGTGCCTGGGGATGGAGAGCTGGGTACCTCTGGAGAAAAACTGGAGCTTTGCTGGCGGAGGGTTAACGGGAATAGGGGCCGGGGCTTTCCAGGGCAGGGAGGGTGCATTGAGATTGTTTGAGATGGAGGGTTGGGCAGAGGGAAAAGGGTTGTCTCCCCCTTTGGACAGCTTTTCCTAGCCTAAACCTATCTATCTCCTCAGGTTCCACTCAGACACGGCACATCCCCGAGGAGAGCCCCAGCGGCTTCCACCTGCAGAGTGTCTCCAAGGTGCTCCTGGTCATCAGTTTTGTGTAAGTGATTTTTTTTTTTGCTTTCCCTCACAATTAGCCTTTAACAACTTCGGTCCTTTTGTGTTTCTGGCATTCTGTGCTCCCCTGTGCCAGTTTTTTCTCTCTCATATTCCTCTCTGGTCACAAACTTTGCGCTGCACGGAAGAGAGAAAAGCGGTAACAGGCAGAAAATAATTAAAATTTCCCCCAAATCAGCTGTTTTGTCTGGCTTGATCCCAGCTTTTGCCAGTACTTAGCTGGCCACTCATCTGGCTCTGTAGGTTCTGGATCTGATTTTATCAAAGCCCCTCCTTTCCCCTCAGTTTTGACCTTGTTTTAACCAAACACAAGCTTTGCAGACTGCATGTTTCTGGGAGTCTTAAATGCAGGGCAGCTATGCTGTCTGGGATAGAAGCAGGGTGAGGGGCAGCTGTGCAAGGAGGGTGGAGTCAGTGCTTAGAAGAAATCCAACAAGTAGAAATAGTCTGTTTTGTTTTTGTTTTATTTATTTATTTATTTATTTTTATTTCAGGGACTCAGTTTAGAGAGATTCAATGACATCTAGAAACTGTGGGATTTTTTTAAATTTAAAATAAGTAATTTAATGTAATCTGCTGACAAACTAGCTGTTGAAAGATGACTGTACGAAGCTCTCTGGGAGTTACTGTGCTATCGCAGCAAGGCTCAGTGTATGTCAGGAGTCGGTCTATTACTTCTTCCCTCTGGTCTGGCAAAACCTCTCCAGGGCTGGTCCTGGGCAGCAATTTTAATGAGATACCATCGCAGCAAGAGGCTTGTTTAGAGACAGTTTCTCCAAAATAAGGGTAGGAATACATGAAGCAAGGAGAGATTGGCATGATTTCACCAGCTCAGCAGCAAGAACTGTGTTTGGTTTGGGTCTGTTTTCTGCCAGCATCTTTCACGGTTGCTGGTCTTGGACTCGGCTGGATGTGTGCTGACAGTGAGCCGGGTGTGGGCTCAGCCTTTATGCCTAAGCCCAGGCGTATTTGCTGTTTCTCTGCCTCTGGGGCTGATGGTAGCTTTCATGTGTTAGTGCTGGGCAGGTGCTGTGAAGCGGTGCAGCCTAAAGGAGCAATCCCAATCCACGGCGGGTTTTTGTCGTCACTTAGGGAAAAGGAGCATACTGCTAACCCTGGAGAAACAGCAGAACTTGGGCTCATTCTTTTCTTAAGCTCCACCTACCTTTTGGTGAGGTGGGAAGAAGCTGAGATTTGTGGACTCAGGTTGCTTTTCAAATTGAGCTCCTTTCTGCATTTCCTTTTCCCGGTGGGGCTAAAGCCTGCAGAGGTGTGCAGCAGCAACCCAGCTGGCTGCTGTAATGGTAAGGAAGGTAATGTAAAATAATGTAAGGATGAGAAGATAGATACCCTCGTGCTATCTTCTGCATCTAGACAGGTGAGATGCAATGCAAACTTTGGGTAGGAAGGCACAAAAGCTTTAGGACCATCTCTCCTGACAGCTAGCTTGGCTTTGGTCAGGGAGCCCTCCATAATGTGTTCAGAGTATTCTTCTGCCCAGCTGCCATCCACCTGACTGAACTGGGCGATAGCGGGCCATTCTTCCAGCAAGATAGCTGCACTATTCAGAGACAGGCACGAGCGTGGTGTTTTGGAACCTGTTCCCTGAGTGTGGCTGGCAGGAGGAGCAGTAACACCCATGCGTGGTGGTGCAAGAGGAGCGGCACGGTATCTGGTCCAGGCACTGGTTTGCAGGCTGCCCTGCCTGCGGTGGTGTTCCCATCGCCGGGTGCAGTAGGAGTGGTAAGGCTGGATGCCTGCAGGCTGCAACATGCATTTATGTGTCAGACAGTGCCCTGCACGGGCACGCTTTGGGCTTGTCCACCCCGCACAGCTCATCTTTTTGCTGAGCGACTTTCACCATTAGTTGCAGGCACACAGTTATTTGTCAGTGCTTCTTGCCCCTCTTCCCACTGTTCCTTACTTCCCTCCTCACCCCCCTATATCTCCTGCACTATGAACCCTCTCCGCTCAGCCCGGTTTCTCCTGTTCTCTGTCAGTCTGTTTCTAACCTGCAACTACTCCGTCTTTTCTCTTCCCTGCTCCCATTAGGATCTGTTTCAGGTACCGTCTCTCTCTTTTTTTACCTCTTTACTCTCCTGTTTCCCTCCCTTTCTCTGCATTCAGCACGCTCACTCACCCAGCCTGCTCTGTCTGATCTGTCCTCCCTGTCTTTCTGTCTGTCCCACTTGCACATTTCTCCCACGAGGTGGAGTTTTGGATTTTGATCACCTGGCCCTTACTCAGGTGAAGTTCCCACTCACATACAGCGTGGATCTGAACCCCAGACACCTTCTGAAAGCCTTGGGCGTTTTCCCAGGTGTGATTGCCAGGCAATGGGCTATGAAGTGCTCCCAGTAAACTGTCTGTTTCCTTTATTTCCAGTCTGGTGCTGCTGGTCATTCTCAATATGATGCTGTTCTACAAACTCTGGATGTTGGAATATACTACGCAGACGCTCACGGCATGGCAGGGCTTGCGGCTACAGGAAAGGTACTGTCACACCTGCTTTGTCTTTCTCTTTGTGTGTGTTTTCTGTGTATGTTAGAAGCTTTCCCAGAACACCAAAGCCCTGGGCTCTCTTGTAGATTGCTTCCTTTCTGTGTAAAATAGATGAAGCAGGTAGTCAGCTGAAGCTGTGGGGCCATCAGTATTTCCAGATCAGGATTTTCCAGGACAGCGAGTTGAGGCAACCTCTGCTTCTCCCCAGCATCCCATCTAACATAGAGGATGCTGTACAAATCCTGGCCCAAGGTTGTCACCACCCCTTCTTTGACGGCTCTGTATGAAAGGCAGCGTCTTAGAAGGAACCTTTATACTCAGAGGAGAATTTGAGGCTGACACACACACACACTCAACTGCTAGATAAGGGTTTGAGTCCAGATACTGGCAAGTTGTTAGGGCATGGGAGGAAGAGAGAGATCACTGGGAGGACACAGCTTCTTAACAACCTAAGTGTTTTCTGGCAGTATTAGGTGGTAAGCAGTGAAGTGTGATTGCAGGCTGACTTAGTTTCTTTAATAATTGGTAGCGTGGAACCCTGTCCGAGGCTTTTTGGACATCCTATTTCAGTCTAGTGGCCACTTAGTGTGTACTGAGATGTACAGAGCTTTAGGCTGTATGGCAGCACAGCAGCATTTCCCCATTTCCTTTTGCAGAAAGCACACTGACAGCCTCCAACCAGACTGAATTTATTGTTGGGGTCAGTCTTTATTATATAGACTCCCCCATCTTGTCTAGGGTCAAAGGCGGACCTGCCAGCCTACGTTTCCCAGGAAGCGCTCCAGAGCACCTTTATGTAGATGGCTTTTACAGTGGTGCCCTGCTGTCTCACTTGTTTGTAATGACAGCCAGCAATTTTGTGTTTTGAATGCCTCTGACATTTTTAGGTTACTGCTTTTTTTTTATGTACATAAATACTAGGTATCCTGCCTGAACAGTCTCTATTTTTAGAGGTTGAGAACATCCCCAGTCCACTTTGCTGAGGTGTTTTTGTCCCCTTTCTGACTGTACTTTCGTGCAGTCACAGTTGTTCCCTTGCTGAGGTGGGTTTGACTTTGAGAATCCATAGCCACAGGCTACCATTGTGATAACTTGTGATAATTTTTTTTTTTTTTTGCATGTTTGATTTGTCTTATGTTGCAGGCTTTCACATTTTTCCTCATTAGGGAAGGGAATTACCATTTTCCCCATAATAGCACTGCTACTTTCCCATGGATATATACATTAATTGATTTTGCTTTATCTTCCTCTGGCACTCTTGCTATTTATTTGGACCACTACAACATAGTATTTAAGTACAGGGCTTACATAGTGTTTCTATGTTTCTTGTGATGTGCATGTACAGGAATTCTATGGGTAGCTCTATTCCCCCCGCTCCTGCACAGGTACCTTCATTGTGCTGCAACAGTGATTGCTGTGGAAGTGCACTGAACCCATCAGCTGGATCAAAAGCTGCACATGCCCAGAAGTGTTCAGTTTGAGACTCCAAAAACTTTTTTTTTTTTTCCCCATATCTGTTTCTACTGAGACTTAAGTTCTCTGGGGGCAGGGGCAGTCAGCAGTCCCCCAGGAGAAGTGTGCCAATCCTCAGGTTGTAACCTCTCCACTTAGACAAGGAAAGCAGTCTTTATTAGGAAGCAGAGTGTTATTTATTAGCAAATAGGATGACTGACCATGGGGAGTGGGTTCATTTTTTAAATGGTGGTGGTGTTTTATTGTCATGCTTAATTAACATTTCTTTGTTTCATCTCCAGGTCTGGAGCCAGCTGAGCAGGACAGCTGCAGGCACTCACACACAGATGGGAGGAGCACCAGGACTGGCTGCCCACAGCTGCCACTCAAGGCCACGTGATGGGCCCAGGCAGGTGCCATTGGTCAGCCTGCTGAGGAGGTGGAGCTTGGCTGGGCCAAGGCGAGGATAAATCCCAGTGGAGGAGAGCGATGGGGAGCGGAGAACAGGGCAGTTAGCAAGGGCAGTGAGTGGCAGCGGCACCCCACGCTGCCCGTTTGCTAAGGTAAGAAGGGAACAAGTTAGACCATGGCATTACATTGCCAGGAGGAACTTACCCAGGGAGTGAGTTCTTAGCTGCAGATGAGCTTTCACCATCAGGGACTTCCGAAAAGGAAGCTTGAAAATCTCTGCTGTAGCTTGAGAGGAGGGATCCAGCTACGTTAGAAAGTAGCAGAGCCCAAAGAGGCAAGTAGGAAAGACTTTCGTCAACATTAGAAGCCAAGAAAAACTTATTAGCTGTCTTAAAAGTAGTAGAGCCCAAAGAGGTAAGTAGAAGACAAAGTAGGAAAGACTTTCAGTTGTGTTAGAAACCAGGAAAAACTTATTTATCTTAAAAGTAGCAAGACTGGGCTATCTTAAGTGTTTTTAGAGCCATCCCTGTCAGGAGAAACGGGCAGCGTGGGGTGCTGCTGCCGCTCACTGCCCTTGCGAACTGCCTTGCTAACTGCCCTGTTCTCCCATCACTACGCTCCTGCTATCGCTCTCCTCCACCGGGATTTATCCTCGCCTTGGCCCAGCCAAGCTCCACCTCCTCAGCAGGCTGACCAATGGCACCTGCCTGGGCCCATCACGTGGCCTTGAGTGGCAGCTGTGGGCAGCCAGTCCTGGTGCTCCTCCCATCAGTGTGTTGAGTGCCTGCAGCTGTCCTGATGCTGCTCCACTCAGCAGCCTCCAGCCCTGTTCTGGAGGATTCATTGGGCCTCAAGGGAGGGGATTGATACCTGCCAGTGAAAAGAGAGCCAGTGCTGCAGTTACTCCTCATAAAGAGAAAGCCTTGTATTAAATAAAGACTGACACAGCATGTCTAATAAAAACGAAACACAGAAGCTGCACAGGGTTCCCTGTCCCACAACGTGACATTGCTCCCCATCCATGGCCATGGTGCCATCTTTCAGTACAGATGTGTCCCAAGCACTGAGAGCACACTGCCTCTGTCCCCACCTTCCCCTCTGGCAAATGAGCCTTTGGTTCCACCCACGTTACAACATCACCTGTGCAAAAGGCACATCTTTCTTTGCTATTTATTAATTAATTACCATGGTTAAGACAGAGTAACATTGGTGTCCAATGTAAGAAACTCCTAAGCACATTGAAATATACTTTTGCTGAAGAAAACCTGTCCCTTTAGGGTGAAAACAATTAAACAGAAACGGATACAATCTACACACCCCCTCCCAATCCACTCTGCTCCCCTTTGACTTCAGTTTCCCTAGATTCACTCTTGCTCCTATTCTGCCTGACAGGTTACCCCAGTCTCAGACAGAATGGGCCCAGTTACTAGAATCTCAGCAGAAGTATCATGACTCAGAGCTACAAAAATGGCGTGAGATCATCAAATCCTCGGTGATGCTTCTAGACCAGGTGAGACCGCACGGCCACTTAGCGCTGTGATGAGAGGGTCACTGTGTCCTTCCTGCCAGCCACCCACTCGCAATCCTTCAGCCTTGCCTGGTTCATTGTAGTCCGTCAGGTGCGTCACCTCCGCTGTGTCTCCCGCCGTAGAGATGGGCAGCAGGTCCCAAGGGCCATTCGCAGATATGGCTGCAGCTTCTCCATCACCTCATGGGGTCCACACATGTCAAGGAGAGAATTCTGCAGGGCAAAAAAAACCTTCTATTACCACATCTTTTATCTAGTCTCTGGCATCCCAGTTTGTAAAGGAAACATTTTAGCACAATCCTTGGTTCATACGTAGGTTGTGTGGACAAAGGGGACACACTCTGCTTGGGTCCTTGATAGCACAAAGCCAAGGTTTTGGTATCCGCTGCGTAAAGAGCCGGCTGAGCACCAGGCTGCTTACAACAGAGTCCATAAATGAAAGCTGCTCACCCCTATGGAGAGAGCTGCTCGCCCCTTCTCTGTTATCTTGGAGAATGGTCCCTCACAGGCTCCCATCTTCTCAGTCCCCATTTGTACATCCTGGTCCTGACGCCCCTCTCCCAAAACCCAGATGATTACGGTATCAATTCTTTACGTGGAAGGAGGAGGCATCAATGGGGAAGGAAATCCCGAAGCGCTCTCACCTCTAGGGTAGCATCACAGTGGAGAAATTTCTTGTCTTGCAGATGAAGGATTCACTAATAAATCTTCAGAATGGCATCGGATCCCGGGACTTCGGGTCAGATCCAGAGGAGAAAC